TAATCGCAGAATAAAGCTGTGTAACAAGATATCAACATTTATAACTGACATCATCTGTTTAGGAAAAAAGCCGAACATCCATGCTGCTTGCGATTTTGGTAGGTGATGTTTTTTATTAGACTTGGATATTATCAGAAGTGTTGACAAAACGTTAAAAACGGAAGAAAGGTAAAATAGAAATTGAGATGAGCAAACAAAAGATAATTGTAAGGTATGATGCATGCTTTTAGGAAAAAATTTACTCTTCCTATTCTGCAAATCCATTTTTCATTTTTTGAGAGCGAGGAAACGCAAGCGCATCAGAATTTAATTCTCTCCCCTTGACCACGTACTTAAACAGCCTTCCTTCGTTCTCTTCACCTCTGGAACCTCAGTGCGATATTCCGAGACACCAGCATGTGTTAAGAAGTTTTATGAAGCTGAGAAGAAAAAACTATCTATTCGCGTGCTATGGCGCCGCAGCAGCTTAGAATTGTATTGAGCAAAGTTTGCGATGGAGTAAAAAAGGTTTCATGAAATGGCGTTCATATTTTAGCACCAAGTTTGATCCAAAGGCTCAAAGCCATAATCTAAATGTTTCGAAGTGCAAAACTGAGAAGGTCGGATTTTCATTCAAAACATTGCGGATTGCATATATCCTCTCACATACTTTCTGCGGACTTCAGACATTCGTATATACAATTGCCGTATATTTTTTTGACTAGAAACTGATAAGACGAAAATTTCCTTACTTTTCTCTAGCACTGGCTAATCCATGTCAAGCGTGAGGTGTGGCATAGGTCGATAAGGTGAGAATGACTCCTCACGGGTGAAGAGGGTCACAATGGTCACAGCCCGCCCAGGGTGAAGGGTGTTTCACGCAATAGAGAAATTATAAAATGTCGACCTGGGAGGGGGAGGGGGGGAGTCACGGTGTTCTCTTATCATTTTTCCTAGTCAAAGTTTATAATTTTCAATTCCTTGCCATGACTGGTTGTCTTTTTTCTGAAATGTGAACCGATGTGCTGCTGGGCTAGCACACAATTATGTTTCTGACCAACACCTTGTATTTTTTTACATTTTCTTTTCCTTTTTACATCACCCTGCCGGTCTTTAAAATTACCGTAGAAGATGTACGCGAGAACATTTGTTGCGGAAGCATTTACGAAAAAAACTGCCTGAGTGAAGATGTGCACAGTGATTTCCGGAGATTTTCTTGTTTTTAACATAAAAATCCTAAGTTTTGTAGATGAACATCTTGTACGCCGTTATGGTCACCAATGAAACCGTCTCGTCTTTCACTTTCAGAAAATATATATAGGCCCATAGTAAACTCCACTTCACCTCAGATGATCTCAACTGAGGGGCTGAGTTGAGGTATTTAAGATAAACTGACTAGCGGTCACTCTCACATGCTTAAGAATGCGACCTGATCTGAAGGGTTAGCGTCAGGGCATTTGCCGCGATGAATTCACCTGAAACGTAAGAGCAGCCTCGATTTTGAGATGAATTGACCAAAATAGTGTGCAAGGGACGAGACGCAGAGAAAAATCCCGTAAGTTGCTCATGAGTAACTTACGGGACATCTACTTGACGTATTGTTGCAGTAGAAGAACGCGCAAAACTGCACAATACCGGTGCCCAAAAAGGAAAGGATCAATGAACAGCTAATTTCGGCAAAAAAACAGAAGGATAGGATTTTTCCTTTTTGCAGAGTTTGCTCAGATTTCTTCTACAAAAGCTACTCAGAGCGACAATCTCTTTATTTATTTCCATTCGATTTTGTCCCTACTTCCCCAATTTTTGATGGAATTTTGGTTAAAAAAACGCATTTTTGTTTTGTGCATTCATCTGGTTTGTGGATTCCTTGATAGCGGCCGTAATCTATTTTCTTCGATAGTGGCCGCTATCAAAGATTGCTCAGTGATGCGCGAAAATTCGCCACCGCCCGACGCCGAGCCACGGTCGTGCGGGCTGAGTACCAGTCACATACCTGTTTGGCCAAACCTGCACAAGAGGTGTAGGTGTTTCCTCTTTAAAAGCGCGTAAGATTTTTATGCCTGAAAAACGATCCGCATCTAGATCAATAGCTCACGGGATGCCAACACCGAGGCGCCATACAATCAACTTAGGTCCGTCTCAGGGCACCCTGAAGGGGGGTTTACTACGGGCCATAGTCGTCCTCATTCCACTAGTCAGTCAGTGGACGGAGTCGAGCAAGTTTGATTAGAAACATTGGCATAGTACATAAATTAACAAGCAACATTGTAAAAACCAAAAAGAGATATGCGTAGTTTTGAGCAGAGGGTGCCGCGCTCTACCGCGACCGGTGCTCCCAGTTAAATTCGAATACGTCCACTGACCGACTAATGGGGTGAGGACGACTATAATTTTCCTGGGGTCCGTTAGAAAAAGTGCCGGGTGAAGGGTGGGTAGACTCTTATAATGGGAGTTCTCAGGTGGAGGCTTTTTTACCTTTGTAAATAGACGTCTACTTGAGAACTGTCATTATAGGAGTCTCATCCACCCTTCACCAGGCACTTTTTTTTTCAAAGGACGCAGGCAACGTATATATTTTTTGAAAGCGGAAGACGAGACGGTTCCAATGGTAACCATCTCCATGTACTATCTGTTCATCTACAAAAGTTATGAATGGTGACTATTTTCTTGCACGAGCCATCCATCTGCAGAAGTTATGAATTGTTTTATGTTAAAAAACCGAAAATCCCCAGAAATCACCAGGCACACCTTCACTAAGCACTTCTATGAACGGACTAGGAAAATCATTTATTCCCTGAAACCACATAGGAACGTTGTACCACGGAACTTTCCTTGCTGACTTTGCTGTGCAGCTCAGAAGCTACTATTTTTTCCTGGTAGTTCGTGAATGCCCATAAATCTTCTTCCTCCTCTCCGAAAAACAAACAAATCCTGTATAGACATTTTCTTTGCTCAACCTTACCTCAATGTTGATTTTTTCTCGGCTTTTGGTGAAGGGTGTCACCCTGGTCCCGGTTTAAGGGTAAAAGGGGGAGGGTGAGCAAATTCTCACACTATCGCACCTATGAGGTGTGGCATGCTACACCTGGAGGGTCGGAGGGGCCAGAAATGGGAAGGCGGGGTGGTTATCGAGGTGATACTAATGTTACCGATAACGTGATTTTTGTTAGCGATGTCAGATCGCATTATGCAAACAACCAGCACATTGATGTTTTGGCCTGCCTCGCATACATGCAGTAAGTACAATAGATGAGCCAAAGGTCGCATGTCAAATAACCCTTGTGGGTCAAGGGTCAATATTTGGGAACTTAGCGAATTCTGAAGTGTCCAAACATTGGGCCGATCAAGTAAGATGGTCATTTTCAAGCATGTAAAACTTGTTTCAAAAGTGAGTTTCTACTTTTTTCACTTTATGCAGAAAACTACTACTTCTTTGCTCACTTTAAGAATCCCACTCTGTATAGTTTTTGAACTATGAAACTGAGAGCAATCCAAAATCTCGTTCGTCCTATTCCGCTTTCAATATCTCGGACTAGAGAATACCAGTCAGGGTCAAATCAGTTTGGTGGAAGTTGCGAGGTTTAGTATCGAACATATTCATCTCGCCGCGTTTCCTCGCGATTCACATGGTAGTGCAGGCTTAACATGTTACCTTAGACCAATATTTTGCGTAATTCCCATTGGCATAGATAAGGAAAAATGGCTGCGTCTTTCCCGAGAAACGATTTTGAGCGAAATTCCTACTCGGTAGAGAAGAAGATTTAGCAGTCGCAACGATACAAACTTTCAAAAAAGTTGCGGCAGCCACAGCTTTTCTAAGGTTGTGCCACACATTAACTTAAATCCAGAAGGAATTTTAGCACACAACTTATATACAGTTCGATAGCAAAAATCTCTGTGGAAGTGATTAGAGCGAATTCGTCTTCTTTCATCTCCGCATTAGTCGCTGGAAGCACAATCACTGTAGGTAAACTGGGACAAATAAGATTTTAGCTGTTTCCTAATTCCATAGTTTAATGTTTATTTTAAGCAGGATTTTGGCATGGGCGAAGTGCTTTGCATGAGTACAAAAAGAGGTAACTAATTTACTTTTGAGATATAGTCAACCATGTTTGGAAATGATCACTTTGCTTGGGTGACCCATTATCGGCAACAATCAGAATTCGCTAAATCTTGGCCCACAAGGATTAAATGAAATGATAATTACGAATGTGTTACTAAGTATGCTTGATAGAGTCTTCATGCCTATGGTAGGCAAGCGATAATGCGAGGGGGGGTATTGAAACAGAACCTAGGACTGGGTCGTCTCCGGGAGTTGTTGCCACACTTCTTGCTCGACCCTGCTCATAAGTTTATACAGACATTTTAGAGGCGAATTGTCACCGAAAGGATATTGCGCGAATCTTTATATACTATACTATAGGGCTCACTAGATATCACGCTGAGAAAATGCGCTAAAAGTAGTCCGCAACGAACAATCTTTTCCGCATGGCCGATTTCTCCAGTGTTCTCTACTACGGTTTTAACAGGTCATTTGGAAAGCTAAGCCGGTTTCGTTAAGGGATATTACTTTGATACCAGCAAAGCCTATTCTTGGAATTTCTAACTTTTGAGGGAATGAACGGCGTAGTGGTGTAAGGCACAGGAATGATCAAATCTGACTACATAAGGTTCGATTTCGATCACGCGGGCCACTACCCTCCGAGAATGGTAAATTGATACCAGCATAATTTGAGAGGATTATTCATAACAATGACTCGATAACCGGCTGGCTCCCGCAGGCCATTGTAAAATACTTGCACGCATTCAGTACCCCATTCGACTATGAACTAGAATGCGTGCGGCGCATGCCTGCAGACAGAAAGTTGTTGAACTTTCATTTTTATGCTTTAGATCTTGAACGAAGCTATCAGTTTTGAGAATGTCGCATTACAGGAATTATAAAGTACCGTGATTTTCAACATGGTTTTATGAGTGCACAGAGGTGACTTTACAAACTGAACCCGAAAATTGCGTTCGTTATGCATGGTAAGCCCACTTTCGTAAGCTTGCTGCAGGTGCGGGTAACAGGTAATTTGTGGATGTTGCGATCCATAGATAATGTTTTCTTGGCATGCTGTTGCTCGCAGTACCTATGCATATAGCCTTCGTCGCGAAACCGTTTACTTTCAAATCACCGTTCAAAACAAGGCACAGCAATTTCTGGTCTAGTGTTTTTCGTTCTTAAACGTGACATTTACCTTAATCCTCTGTACAAAATTTTCACAACCTTGCCCGAGTCGAGTGACGTGTTGGTAGGGGAGCATCTATGACCCGTTGAGATTGATCTCCGCTCCTGGACCAATCAAAAAATGCTCCTTTTATGCTGGCGAATACTGTCTTCCACATCTGTGAAACGGTAATCCGGATGGAGTTATGATTATTTTTTCATGAATAAACTGTGTTACTGCGGAGGGCCAAAATCATCAATAAAATTTTCCTTTCCTTTTCAAATGCTGAATACGATTCAGATACGTACAATACATCAGTGTTTCTTTTGAGAATCTCTTCAATAGCTTCAAATGGTAACTTAGAACAAATTTGGTGATTTTAACTACACAAAGTACGCAAAGTTTCTACGAAAAAAAGTTCATAACTTTCTTCAGAAGATCGTTTCGCAGATATCGAGCACAGATTTGGAATCAGCGTCTTGAGGTGCATCTTACATTATGCATCGTATTCCAAATGGCCACGGTGACCGAGTATCCTTTTATTGTAAGACTACCTGAGAGCATCAATGCACCCACTGCGAGCCGGGTGGTTTTCGCAAGAAATTTCAAATGTTGATACACTAATAGCTCCTAAGCACGAAGTAAAACCTGTACAGCACAGTGGGTACAAAATATACTAAATTCGGAATTTATTGAATTAGAGATTATTGAATAAATTTGAGAACAAAAAAAATCCAAATTAACGCATACATAATAAACTCGAAAATGAAAAGTTTCAAAGGAACGAATCTTATATATAAAGCTGAATGTCTGTCTGTATGTATGTCTGTCTGTCTGTACGTATGTGCGGAATAGAAATTTTTATTTCTGAACCGATCGGGACCAAACTTGGCACACATATACTTCGGGGCAGGGAGCGTGTCATAGGCTACTTTTCGTTATCGATCGATATCGATTTTATCGATTTTTTGCAAAATTTGAGCTAGGGGGCTGGGATTTTGCACAGGGGGGTAATGTTCGATTGCAAAGTTTGGCCCCGGGCGGAGCCGGGTTTGCCATCTAGTCCCGAATAAAATTCAAAAATCGAAACTATCGGATGAATGAACATCGATTGTATTCGAACAATGAAAGTCATGAGAACAATGAGAATTTCGAATAAATATCGAGTTATTTACCGAATCTAGAGCAACCATATAACTTGCTGGCATACCCGGAAGCCTCTTCATTCTTAATCAGCGCCCTCGCCCACATGTGCCAACACCCAGCTTCGTAGAAAGCTTTTCACAAATTGATAAAATCACAAAGTAGATTTTTATTCATAATCAGCCCTCGTTTACATCCCTGTACCAATTCCCATTCCTATAGCTCAAACACTCACTAGCAATCTTGTCTAGACAAACGCAACGTCCTCTACCCAATAAGACCCGTCATTCGCGAAACTCTAAAAATAGGTTAGAGGCAATTGTGCAATATAATTTACAAGCCAAGAATGCTTACTAGTTTGAGTCTTTGCAGACCAAAACTAAGTGCAACACAAAGGAAAGAAACTGACATGTTAATACCAAGGTAAAGCGGGGGTGCGGCACGCCGCAGGGGGGGGGGGGGTCGTAAGGGGGGGGGTAGGTAGGGGGGGGGTCGTATCGACCCAAGGTCAAAAGCGGTTTCTAAGGGGAAATGACTGCAGCTAAGTTCTTAGATGTGCCACGCTGTTGAAATCCTGCAAAATTCAAGTTCAACGACACAAACTTGCAGATACCGTATGCCTACCGTAACCTACCGTACCTCTAATCAAGCATAATCGTAATCCGCGTGTCGAATAACCCCTATGCGCCAAGTTTCAGCGAACTCTGAGGTCTCCGAGCAGTAAACAGCCTTGTATAAAGCAGTAATTTAAAACATGATTAACTTCATCTTAACGGTGAGTAAGCTACCTCTTCTTGCACTCATTACAAAGCACTACTCCTTCTTTGTCCACCTCAGGAATCCCGCTTCAGAAGACCTCCAAACTGTTGAATTAGAAGCCAACCAGAATCGCTTTTAGCTTTTGATCGCTGTGCTTTCACCAAATATTACTCAGAGCTAAGAAGACGAATCAGGCTCAAAACATCCCTATGGAATCTATGAGGTTTAGGCTATTGATTCATATAAATATTGTCCGCTAAAAATGTTTTTTTTTTGATATAGTTAATGGCCTGCGGCACCCCCCCCCCCCCCCTCAAAACCTGCGGCTGCCGCAGCTTTTGAGGGGGGGGGGTGCCGCAGGCCATTAACTTACCTTCAAATCGTTCAAACAGCTGCCTTTTTCATATCATTCTATAGATTCATCCTTCCTCTCTCCGTAGTAGCTGTTTCCCCTCGAACCTTTTTCTTTAGAAGGAAATACATATGGTTTTTGCGAACCATATGCTGGGAAGTGTGGCCAAAAAATATTGGGACGGTAGCGCTCGAAAAATTGTCAAAACACACAGAGGCGCGAGATACGCGCCTTTGAATCCCACTCTCGTTATGAGCTGTGATGTTCTCGCCTTTTTGTTCTTTTTCATCACTTGTTTCTCTCATTGTTCTTTCAGAAAACTTCAGCCCTACGTTATGCAGTGTTACAGGTGTTGTTCCATTACTAATCAATATCTAACAAAGTTGTCGCCAGTTTTCAGTTTATTTCTTGTTTTTTGCTTGACATGTTTGCTTCTATTAGTCTTTGATTATTTGAGGTTTCTAGCTGCTCGTATTGTGTTTCTTCTGAGTGTAGTCTGTCAAAGTGTGGAACAATTACATTTCCTCTTTTTGAACTAGTTTTGCTCTACGTTGATATTTAAACAAACAGAAGAAATCACGATAAATCTTTCATTACTCCATTTTTGATGTAACTATGGGGATGTTGCCAATGTTGTAATCTTGTCCGTTTCTCAAAAATCTGCCTGTTTTTTGAGGATCGAAATGCGGCCTTCGAAGAAACTAAACAGTTTGCTTTGCAATCACTAGCAAGTGTGGCTTATCAGATAAATACTCTTGCAAGGTTCGTTATCATCGACAAAACTCATTTGGGAGTATCTGAATAGATGCTTTATTTTTCAGGGATCTGTTGGACATGCTGGATTTGCAAACTGATAAGATTTCGAGCCTTACTGGGCAAGTGGACAATATCGATGTGGTGAGTTCAGAGACATTTTGATTGGGAGTGTAAAGTTGATTTTCTGTGACGTTTAGTTGACCCTATTCTGTTTCTCTCTTTACGTACTCATATGCAGGCAAAGTGATTTTTGTATCGGTCTTTCTCCATTCCTAGAGATTCCAGGTTGTCAACATCCACGAGGAGAAGCTTGCGCGACGTGAAATTGGAGCCCTCACAACGAACAAGTCGCTGCAAAAGCAACCAAAAATCATTGCTCCTGCAACACAGGTGAGTCGGCAGCTTACCGCAAGCAGTTTTTTTTTAAACTAACTACTAAACAGTGGTATCTGTTATGATTTATGATTTTTTTCCATTTCCGTGCATACATGCAATGTTTTCAGAGAAGTTAACTTCCTCGCAGGTTTTCTATCGTAAACCTTATGCTAGTTTCTCATGTTTCGTAGCTATTGTTGTCTAGAAGTTTCGTCTAATTGTGAATAAAAAGGGTTTCGAAATGGCATCATAACTCATGATCTATTAATCTCGCCTGTACCTGTCCTAGTCTATTAATTTATTTCAGGAACCTGTCCAACGATATAAACGTACTCCTATAGATTTCTCTGTACTGGATGGCATTGGTCATGGTGTACGCGTCGAGGCATGTAAAAGAGCTTTCAATGCTTTCCTTATCAGCATCCAAGTGTTTAGGTTCCATATCAAAGTCGAGCAGGCTTGATTTCTCGCGCAATTACGCTCAGTATGAACGGACAGCTAATATCGGAACCAATACGGTAGGTTTCAGGTTTTGACTTTGATGTTTTCCGAAAAGGGGCTAAATGTAAGAGCAAGGCAGCATAGCTCGGCTCGATATAAATCTGCAATTTTTTCATGTTTTGTTGTTCTCTAAATTTGTACTTCGTTTTTTCTACGTTTCAGAGCTTTGGATGACATGTTTTGACACGACGATTTAGGAACCTTACGATTACATCAGTCACAAGTTCCACGCGCCTCTATGGTTGATGGGGGAAGCGTACTTAGCGAAGAAAGGCCGGATTCTCCAGGTTTCCCGTTACCGCTACCCCAGCTTAGCTCAAATTATGGATGTATCGGCATGACAAGAGCGAAAGGTTAGCTTTGCTTTGATTTTTTTATACACAATATATTTGTATGTTTTTACAGAGCTTCCTCCTCCCGCTATGCAAATGTTGAACTCAACCCATGAAGATGAACTTCTTCCGCCACCTCCACACTCACAGGCCAATTTCTTCGACGCACAAGCTGACTGGATTCCTCGAAATTACATAGAAAAAGGTAGGTTCTTGTTATTAATAATGTTTCGAGTATGGTCATATTTATTTCCCTTTTTTATCCTGAAGTTTTGAAAAATATCGCTTGAGATACTTATCTTCAATGGTTCTCTAAATTTTATGGCTAAAAGTTCGAAAAAGGGCTTTTTTAGAGTTTCAGATCGAACTATTTCATATCTTACATTTGTTGCTCTCTCGCACTGATTTTAGCCATCTCATGAGCATGTCGCCAGCAGAATTATAGAAATCGATCAAGTAGTAATGCAATCTCTTCGTAATTCTCGTGTTTAGTCAAAGTTTTGTTCTTTCATCCTCATGTTTCTGTTGCTGGAGACGCGTTAATAGTGTTAGACTAAATTGTAAGATGTCGGCCTTCCATACTCTTTTACGTTGTATGCATCAAAGATTCAATCTTGACTTAGCTTCTCATCTTTGATGTACAGCAATGGTCGTCTCACATTACGTCGTGTTGAAAATAACTATTGATTTCCCTATTGAAATACGTTGCTGCATATGATTTGGAATACGACTTCAAATTACAGCTGTTGCACTGTACGATTATGATGCTGACAAACCGGATGAGCTTTCACTACGGGAAAATTGCATCGTCTATGTACTTCGAAAAAACGATGATGGATGGTTCGAAGGAGTTTTGGATGGAGTCACTGGACTTTTCCCTGGCAATTATGTTCAACCTGTTTGATACCTTACATAAGCTTTCATTTATACTGACCGCCTTTGTATCTGAATTTCTACTTTGTATGCACTGAAGACTTGCAGCTAGATGCTGCTCATTCTTAATGTTGAAACTTGAAGCATCTGATCTTCACGGGTATCAAAGCTCGGTGGAGTTGATTGTTCCATGTTTTACAAAAACATATGCAGTGATTATATTTCATTTCAAGTTATGAACTTGATAGCATTTGATAAATAAAAATCAATAAATAGGAGATCTAGGAAAAGTGTCTTCAAAATAAAATCATATGAAGCTTATTACAGCAATGACAATACACCAAGAATAGTTTCACCATTTTATCGATTTTCAACAACTTGAAAACTCTGAGAAAAACCCGAGATCGCATGAAGCTAGCGACACACAGCACTATTTACGGTCTTACATTTCAATAGGCTTATGGGGTGGAGGGAGGGGGGGGGGTAGGGAATGGCGGGGGGGGGGGCGTGCTGAGGTCCGGCCCAAGGGGGGGTCGTATCCAGCGGTCGCGTGCCGCACCCCCCGCTTTACCCTGGTTAATACACTTTCAGTATATGAACTCGGACCATGATCTTCAATTCATGGCTGTTTTGTTGATCTGATGCCAAAAGCAGTGCAAACCATCTAAATAATGAAAAAACAATTAATCAAAATTCACTTTTTTACTGTCGCTAGCAGTTGGAGTAGTGCGAGTTTCCACACATTAGCTAAGCGTGACTTCAAAAGGTTGCATTATTGAGTTTTACAGAAAAGAACGCAGACAAAGCGAGCTTGATAACCAAGCAGTTGGCTCTGACCAAACTCGAATAATTTGTACATGGATTGCATTCAAATACGGATTCGAATAATATTTGAGTAGAATTCATTTGAACATTAAAACTCTCTTCTTGATTATTCGAGTTTTGGATTTTATTCGAAACCTCATTTTTTGATTATTCGCTTTTTCGAATTTTATAAAGAAGTGAAAGATTCCGGGTTTCGTAATTTGGTGAATATATTCGAATGTTTTATTTAAAGGATCAAAAATTCATTTGATTTGGACCGTACAGTACACAAAACGTTACATCGCTATCGTTTTATAATCACCGCTGCCTACGCCACCACTCTCACCTATCTCCATAATCCTCTAGCTCGGGCTCGCCTGACCTCACGCTTGACCCTAAACAAGAGCCCTCTAGACAAAAAAGCACTCATAGGCTTTTCCGAATAAAATCACTGTTTAGTATGCTCCTAGATAAATTGATCATGTAACTGAAACCTAAAACAACAAAAAGTCCAGGATCAAAAAGGTGAAATTTCTTAATTTCTAGATAGACTTGACAATAACAAGATTACAGATTTTGTTTGCAAAAGGATGGGGAACGATTTGCGACTTGAGGCAGGAGATTTGCTGGAAATTATACACCTAGAAAAAACTTTTCTCATTATGGGATGATTGTTCTTACATAAAGTTGAAATGAGACATTAAGATCAGGATGCGAGGAAAAAGCATTTGGAAATTGAAGGCAGTGTCCGGACTAGATGAGGTTTTTGTCATTTCAGTGCCATGTAAAAGTGGCCCCCCTCAGAAACAGCATCGCGCAAGTACGAGGCTATAATGTCCAACTAAAGCAAGAAAAACGATCGGAAAGTGGGGAAAGCCGGGTCCTCCTACCTGTTTTTGAATTCCTGCTATGCGTCAGAGTACGCATGCCCCCAATCAAGTAGGGTCCCGCAGCGACTCTGCGTCTCAGCCTTGGCGGGACCGTCGAATTTCAAATTGTAAGGCTTTGGAAAACGCATGTTCTCCCGTTCTCCAGCTTTTAATGTGGATTTTCGGATACAGCGTTGCGGATAACCCCCGGTAAGTGGATTTTCTATAAATTGAGTTTTTGCCCGGATTGCCTGTAAACGAGATCAATAAGTGGCTTTGCTCACGTCCCTTTTTCTTGCAAGTAGAAAGATGGTTCGTCAATCCTTGCAGAGTAATCATGCCAGCCCACGTTCTATTTGAATTCACACTGAAAATACATGAAAAGCGCTGCCGCGAAAAAAGCAAGGATTTTCAAAGCTTCAAAAATTACGTTTGACGGTGTTTGCCATCTTAATTTTTTCAAATATCCCTTGCTTTACAAATTCGGCAAAAACACGCTTCTATGAATGCAGCATTTTTCACTTCTTTGTATGATCTTTTTTTTTCAGCAGCCAACCGTCCTCTCTTAAAGATTAATGTTCTTTGCACTAATTACATCCACTATTATGAAGCTGTCTATGATAAAAGCTGATAGCAGAGATAACATTGAATAGCGCTATTTTTCTTTGAATAATCGATTTTTATTGAGAACCGAGTCGTGATAATTGCAGGTCGTTGCTGTTGCGGTTATCGTTCCAACACGGCTAAGTAATGACAGTCCAACAACAATCCATTACTTACCATATGCTATTTAGATGCAAGGACAATTTACAAATTAGTTGAGTATGACAAAAATTGTCCCAAAAACGAGGAATGGGCGGATTGCAAGAACTTTTGTATTCCCGATTGCACTAATCCGCGACCGGTACATACGGAGCACAAGGAGTCATAAAATGTCACATTAATAGCTTACCTAAACTATCTTACAGCTAGTGTGCACCGCAAATGCCATTTTTTGAGCCTGGATGTCAATGCAAGAAAGGCTTCATCATATCTAGTGCTGGATGCGTTCGCGATTGTTCTCAAGGCAAGGATTGCTTTTTTCATCTATAAGTAGGAAAAATTACCTGACGATTGTTGCAATCAACAGCTTGCGGCAACGCTTTGGGTCAGCTATACGACTAATCGAAAGAATTACGTTTTTCCTCTGGCTTCGAGCACATTTTACGCAATTTTATTTGCCACGCTATCTGACAATACTCCAGCTGTTCAAAATTTGTTGTAAGCGCTTCTGAATAGACACAAGATATGGCACTTAAAAGTTTACAAAAGTTATATCTGCTATATGTGAATGTCGAATTTGAAAACATCTGAAAAATGACCAAATCGCCTGACGGTTGAGCACAAAGCCCCAAAAAACCTTGAAACAGATAATTCCGAGTATTCATAATACCGTACTGTGCATTTTATTTTAAACTAGCTGGTGGCCCCGGTCTTACCCGAGACTTCAAGGACTTCAAGTTAGTTAAGCCAACAGAACTTGTAAACTTACGCCTCTAGATTTCTTCTAACATGCGCATAAAGCGCTCACGAACTAATTGCCGCACCCTACCGACTTCAAGACTGAAATGGACTTTACCGCCCCTGCTTACATGCTTATACGTAAAAATGATCGTTAGCCATGGTGACCCTTCATTTTCTTAGGTTTGAGTAAACAAATCAATAAATCGATAGAATGGCCCGACGAATCGCCGCGGAAAGTAGCTCTAAACAACCGCCGGAGTCGAAAACATACGTGTGCGAAGTTTCAGCCGGATCGGTTCAGTGGCGCGCGTTTCTATAACGAACGAACAACTAAACGAACATCCTCACAGACATTGAGTTTTATATATATATAGATTACAGCGCGTTGGTTAAATTCTAACACATTAATTCAAGTGAGTTTGCGGATAAGGTGTGCAGGTGCATGATTTTGATCAAAACCATGCATGATAGAAACAGTTTAGGTGACGAATAATCGGAAGTCATATATAATGATAATGCATACTCCTACTCCAATTTCACAAATTATTCCAGAAAATTGCCCTCGTCCAAATGAAATTCGATCGAAGTGTATCCCAAGGCCAGAATGTCAGCGCACTTGCTTCCCACCTTCGAGTGTAAGCGGAATCTGCTTTTAGGATTGTTTGGATTGCTACATGTATAAAGCCTACCTCTAAGGAACAACCTGATTCAATTCAACTCATAAGACCATTTAACTTAACGCACATTTGTGAGAATGAACCTTGCATTCCTTTTGAATGTGAATGCCAGAAAGGTTACATTCGTCTCCACAACACGCGAGGAAAAGACAGATGCATTCCTTTTGCGACTTGCAAGTAGGTTATAATTTTTGACATGCAATTTGTCATTAATTCACGACGAATTCAGAAAACTGAAAGATCAGTATGGATTCTCTTTGCCATCTGGATTTGACGTCACAGTTCTGAACAACAACTGATTCCTGGAAACTCGCTAGTAAACACAGTACAGCTCTAATAAAAACTTGTCTACATAGTGTACTTCAATCGTCAGTTTAATTTCTTCTGGGCGTCAAAAGAACCTCTTATACCAAAGACTTTTTCCGGGCTGCGCTAATATAATGTCAGATGAGCGAGCGCGAACGCGACGCGGAATTACCTCCACTACTCCTCCAAATCTCCTCAGATCTCTGCGGATAATGACCCTTTTTCGCCCCTAGCATTACGGCTTCTTCCAGCAGTAGCCTATAGCTGTCTAGTTGTGAGCAGAGTCGAGCAAGAGGTGTGGTACACAAGCACCGGATACGATCCCTCTTCCCCCTCCCCCTCCCTCTTCTGTCTCTATACCCTTCCCCTCCTCGCCCACCCCCCACACCAGCATTACCGTTTACCTTCCGTAGGCATGACCTAAAGGCTCTACCATGCATAATTAGGCACATATTCGTAAGTTTCATGGCGAATAACCCCCACGGGACAAGTTATATCAAATTCTGTGGTTTCCCAATACTGGATCACCCAAGCGAAGTGGTCATTTTCAAAAATGACTAACTATATCTCAAAAGTGAACTAGCTAACTCCTTTTGTCCTCAATCCAAGCATTACTCCATATTTACCCACACTTACTTCTTCAAATAAGCATCAAATTATGGACTTAGAAGCAGGCTAAAATCTTGTTTCTCTCATTTTTCGCTGGCTGCGCATTCACCAGCTTTTACTTTTGGAGAGATGCAAGGTAACTAGGTGACTCTTTTTGTAATCAGTCCAAGCATTACTCCGTATTTACCTGCACTATAAATACCAGTCGTTTTTCCTTAGCTAAGGAAATGGAAAACACTGCGAAAATATTGGATTACGGTAACATGCTGAGTCTGCGCTACTGCGCGAATCGCAGCGAAGGCGGCAAGAACAAGTATATTTGATAGCCTGATCCTCATATTTTTCATAAAAGTGATTTGAGCCTGATTGATCTTCTCTAGTCTGAGAAATTGAAAGCGAAAATTGGGACAAACGAGATTTGGCTTAATACAGATTTTGGAAGTTAATTGGAGTGGGATTCCTAATATGAGCAAAGAAGTAGTAATACTTTGTAATGAGTGCAAAAAAAGCAGTTTACTCACCTATGAAACAAAGTTAAGATGTTCGAAAATGTCAACCTCACTCGAGTGTCCCAATAGTCTACTATATTATATTCTAATACTTGAGTCTGTGCCTTATCTATCTATGGTTTACCTACCGCATTACAATACACCATCCCGAACCCGGACCATTGTGGCTGGTGCTTCGCCTAGGTGTCCCCAATCATGTGCCAGAACCGCGTAAAATCCCATCGTAAACTCAAAGCTAGAGCTTTAGGAGTGTTACGACCCACCGCTGGATCGTATTGTCCGAAATGCAGAACATGTATGACTCGCCGGTAGATCGTATTGTCGCGAATGTGTTAAGATCGGGATGCGGAAATTGGATGCTCGAGCAGGTTATAATTTAGCATTTTCTGAATTGCGACCCGAATCTCGGACTAGATAAAAGCTTTAGACTTTTCATCTTGGCTACTCGCATTTAACTCCTTTCGAATGCTTCATCTTGCACTAAGAGCTTGCTTTGTGTTTTTGAATAAAAACATCAACGCCATAAGACTTCACATCAGCAGGATTTCGCTAACTTCAAGAAAACTGTGGTATAACACATATTTGTTACCCGTTGAAGACTAATACTATATGCGAATTTTATGTGTAATTCAAATACAAGGTGAATATTCAAAATTTTTTAGAAGCTGCCGCGTTTTTTCTAAGTTGATTCAATTACTTACTGCGCCGGTCTCATGAAAGACCACGTCTTGTTCACAATAGAAGTGTCCTAAAGATGCGCACATGATTTTTTTTACTAAAGAAGAAAATTTGAGCTACTTATGCAACATGATATAAAGCGATGCCATCCTTCCAATACCCTAGCAATTCCATAAGGCATATCGTTATGGCGACTTATTAGCAATTCAGCGCGCGCAGTTTACGCTAAAAATTTCATATAAAAACGCACATATAGTTAATTTAGGCCTTAAAAAATTGGCATTAAAAACGACACCGGAATAAAATTATATCTTATCCTGGCTAGCAGCATACTTCAAGTTGTGTCCAACAAAAGAGTTTTTCTACAATGGTTTTGTGTATTTGTCACATGCACAGGTTTCAGTTCTTACCCAACTGTAGAATTACCTTGATTTTTCTATAGAGAGTCTTGCAAAGTTTTCATTGCGAGGCATCATCAGTAGAACTAATAAAAATCAAATATAACGAGAGCTTGCAGCCGCCGATTCTTTGATTGACAAATTATTTTTATGCGAAGAATCTGTCAGATTATTGTCAGCTACGTGAAAAATGACCTCTTATTAGCCATGAGAACTCAATAAACAACAGAAAAAGATCTCTTCATCTGCAATCCTGTCGTAATCTCACCCTGAAGCTAAATTATCCAGATTCTACTCTCAAGAAAGCTTTGCTGTTATCTGTTCAGGAAGGAGTTACTCATCTATGCTGTTTGGCGTACTGGTATGTGAAGTTCTTTTTCTCAATTGAGTTTGGAGGCAGTGGCTGGGGAAAAAATTGCAATTACGAGCTTCTCCTCCCTTCTTGGCCTTCTGGATGCGCTGAGTTCAAAACTTGAAAAGTTGAAAAATTGCTTTTCGAAAATGCTTTTCATGACGTTTTCCGGTCATGGAGGTGCTAAAGGGAATGGACGAACAATTGGCTCGCGATGGGCTGCCTGTGCGACCAACCACTTACCACCAAAATGGGTGGAGTTACATTAACCTGCAGCCTGTCGCTGTTTCTAGTGGGAATTGCTCGCCCATCCCCATAGCCATCTCCAAGGCTGGAAAACGCCGAGGAAGCGCTTTTGACATTTCACATAGTCTCGGACTGAGATCCAGAAGGTCATGTAGTTGCCAAGCTCGCAATCGCAATAGCAACTGCCTTCAAAGGCAGCGTCCCACCGGCCTGGAGTTACCTCGCTGTGACAGTAACGTGATAGTTAGATTCTCAATTAAGGGACGACAGAAGTTTGCAGCACGAAAGCGGGTCCACGAAGTCTAGAAATCCCCCCCCCTCTCCCGGGGCGTGTCAGGATTCTGCAAAGGCCTGCCGCTTCTTCTCCAGGCGCTCCTTTGAGAGCCAATAATCTCTTCGCGCCTACCTCGCGCGTTGCACTTGTCTCGCACATTTCTGCGATAGTTCGCCTCCAAACGATCGACTTGTTTCTCCTGGCCCTGATGTTAAAAAGGTCACTGCTTGAACGACGATTTCAATGGCAGGAAGAGAAAAAGCTGTGGGAACTAATAAAGTAATAAAAGTAAACTGACCAGGAAAGTGCTTCTTGCCACGGAGGTCACTTAGTCGAAGTGTCATTTCGGGAGTTGATGCATACTAACATAAAATATATACAACTCAAAAAAATGCTGACTGTTTTGTTTGCGAGACGTTTCTCTGAAAAAGTATGGGGTTTTTCGTACTTGATAGTGAAAGTCTAGCCTAGAAAGAAAAGGCGTGTACACAATAGCATGGCCGAAAAGTACCGAAAACGTACAGATGACGTCAGACTAAATGTACGATGCTTAACACATTGACGACCATGCAGATTTTTAGTTGTCTGCCTTCTGGGACCACGACCTTTTACGGACCAGCCCACATTTTTCAACTATAGTTACGTATGCTGCCAGCTGAAGCACACCTACAGCAAATCTGAAAGGCTGATAAAAAAGGTGGAGGTCATCCCTAGATAGATTGCAAAAGAAAGCTCATGGAGTGAGTTTATCACAGGAAAGTAATCATTTTTACAAAATTTAGGGCTTGACACACATGGTGTGTCAAGCGGTCCCACGCGGTAGTCATTGCTTGACACACCATGTGTGTCGAGCGGTCGTCAATGTGTTAATGAGCTTTTTGACCAAGTCTGCATTCTTTTTATGGAATTTATTTTGCCGCTCAGAATGCATGAAATTTGGCAATAAGAAAAGCTTAAAACTTTTCCCAAAAAAAGCATCGCAGAAATACCTAAGAGAGAAATCATTTAGAAAATAACTTTTATCAGCAATTTCTGCTGTGATTTTGGTCCTTCTGAATTACATACCCATTTAAAGCTTCGTTTTCCATAAGGAAAGTTCAGCTAAAGCAGGCCCAATGAGACCCTAAAAAATTGATGTACAACTTATTTTCGTAGTTGCATTAATTCTAAGAACATGCACAATACTTGACACCCCTATAAGAAAACACGATGACCGTTTGCTTCTTTCTTATTCATCACATCTCAGTAGCGACAGCGGAATGTATTTGGCTGTTAGTCAGCATGATTTTTTGTTATCGACAAATCGTTGATGCGGTGACCTTTTCGATTACAAAAATAATGAACCTTCATTGTGACTAAGGAAACCGAGTGTTTCACCTCCATGTGTTAATACTAGAAGTCTCACAGTTCCATCTTTTGTTATCATTGAAAAATCCACGTTCAAGTAGTGACCTTTTTGATTGATGCCAGGAGAAACAAGGTGATTGTCCGGAGAGGAACTATCGCAGGAATGTGCGAGGCAAGTCATAAGCGACCTCCCAAGGGCGAGCCTGAAGAAGAAGCGGTAGGCCTTTGCAGGATCCTGACACGCCCCGGGGGGGGGGGATTTCTAGATCTTTCTAGATCAAGGCGATGGCTCGCCCCCGTGTAACGGGGGGTGGTCTAGTGGTAAGTCCCGATAAAACCTGATCGACGGAGAAACACGGGTTTAAGTACAAGAATTTATCCTTATGGCACAAACTAAGAAAAAAAGAACTATAACGCTATGTACAGCAACGGGGCTTCAACCCGATTTGCCCTCTCAGCAGGGTTCTCTAGCCTCTTCTATCTAAGGGGGGGGGAGGTCCGCCTCTCTTCGACGGCTCCTTTGAACTCCCCGGAGCGCTCTCTTCACGCTCTGCCTGCTCCCCCCTATCCATCGGTATTTATACCCTGCTGAAAGGTCGAATCGGCCTCTCTTTTCCCGCCAGTAATGATTGGTAGATCGGTGATCCGCGCCATCCAACATTAGAAGTTTTGGGTAGCTACCAAAATTCCGAAATTGAACGAAAAGACGAGTGCATCGCAATCATCCACTGTGGTTTTGCATAAGATCAGGTCACGTTGGCAAAGTAGCGTTGAGGTACAGTTTGGCATAAGGTGACCTGTTTTTCAACTACCCTTTGTGCTATGCCTAAGGTGACTAAAAATTGTTTTTGGCTCTGGTTCTGCTTTAAGGACCAATCGTCTAATTGATTTGCTTTTGTCTTTCTTCTTGAAATCTAACCGCATGACCGCTGATGCCCTCAACAGCTCCGAAGAACGCATTGAACAGAGAAACATCGACGTCAATCAATAAAGTGTTGTTAACAATCTTGGTAGCTGCTCGAAAACTACACCTACAAGTGATTATCATGCCAAAATTCAAGCACAACCGAACAATAAATCACGAATGTTTTAAGATAGTCCATTCTTTGTTCTTATGTTGGTAAATGATGCGCCTAATGAAAAAGAGTGATGATTAGTACTATGGTTTTCCTGTGACAAACCAGACCAGGGCTCGGCACGAGCTGGCACCAGGAAATTTTCAAAAAGAAGTCTTTCCTGATTTTCCCCAAGTTTTACGATTTTTTCCTTGCCCCAAACCCTAAACCTAAAAAACCCTCAAAAACCGGAACGTCAAAAAAAGTCGCAATTTGACGACAAAAACGATATTCCCTTTGCTTTTTGCCCCAAAAACGATATCCAGCTTGCCCCGTGCCAGCTGGTGCCAGCCCTGAGCCAAACATTATGAAGAAGAAAAAAATTTTTTTGACTTCTGATTAGAAATGCTCTCCGACTTGGGAAGCAGATAATCTTTTTCATAAAGCTCTCTATATCTTGTTCCGTATCTTTGTATGCTCGTGCATGTGCTCTGAGTCAAAAATTCATTTTGCCGACTCGGTCCAAACATGCACATACGCTTGAGGGCGGGTCGGGTGTCACAGAATGCTATCGTCATCAAATAGTTATTTTATCAATTTTTTGCGCAAAGACTGAGCCACTTTGGGTGTTGGCCCAGGGGGGCGAAAGGTAGCATGCTAATTACGAATATGATCATCGTTCATGAAACAATCTAGTACTTTTTATCGATTTTGTTGATTATGTCGATATTTTTGTTTTTGCAAACTCGCAGGTAGGGGGGGGGGTGTATGGTGGTACGAAAATAAGGGGCACGAATTTGGCATATAGAAATGAGACATGGCCGGCAAATATCGATGTTGTTCAGAGGGACAGAAAGGTGAGTTCCATTACGTTATGGTGATAGAAACCTAGCGAAGCCGGGTATTCCAGCCATCAGTAAAATACGTTTATCATTCTCGGGGTAACCGTTTGTTAAAACCAAATTTAAACTTAAGAAAGGTCAGATGAGAATCATTTAGTCAAAAAACTTTTCTCATCACTTCACAATGAGTGCTCATCATAACTTATAATAACGGGCTAAGGGTGTTTACGTGACTTTGTGTGTGTGTGTGTCTGTCTGTCTGTCTGTAACGAAATTCATACAGCGGGTTCCAGCCAACATCCAGAGCTCAAATTTTGCATAGCGCATGCTACCAACGTATAACTCCACCATGCAAAAGCACGAACGGATTCGCTGGGTGGGTCCCTCAGAATTTGCGCGTCAAACGGATCCACTTGGCTTCTGGCCCGCAAAGCTGGGTCCGTATCAACACTTTTTGCAAAGCCGTGGATGTAATTAGCAGGTTGTTGTGTAAGTCATGGACTTTAGACCAAAAATTGACCAAAGGTTTGCTACTTTACGAAAACGACGCCAAAAAGAAGTGTTTGCCTAAATGGTCAATCCGCCGTGGATTTACCTGAGCATTTGAGAAGATTTTTGCATAGAGATGTAGCTCACGGTAACTATTGTCCTCATGGCGACTACCAAGCCAAAAGAAGCTCAAAAACCTAATCGGATTTGCATTTGTTCTTCTGCGAAAAATTCCATCCACGCAAAATTACCGATTTCACATGAAAAACCCTTTGAAATGAGTAGTTGTTTACATTTCATTCGTGGTAGTCGTCATTGCACGGTGAGTTTCAAAGACATCATTAGGTGAGAACAAGTAAAGCATATAAAGTAAGACCAGTGCGAGCCTCTGCGAAGCAGAGGTAACGCACTGGTAACTTATAATAACGGGCTAAGGGTGTTTACGTGACTTTGTGTGTGTGTGTGTCTGTCTGTCTGTCTGTAACGAAATTCATACAGCGGGTTCCAGCCAACATCCAGAGCTCAAATTTTGCATAGCGCATGCTACCAACGTAGAACTCCACCATGCAAAAGCACGAACGGATCCGCTGAGTGGGTCCCTCAGAATTTGCGCGTCAAACGGATCCACTTGGTTTCTGGCCCGCAAAATTGGGTCCGTATCAACGCTTTTTGCAAAGCCGTGGATGTGTTTAGCAGGTTGATGTGTAAGTCATGGACTTTAGACCAAAAAGTGACCAAAGGTTTGCTACTTTACGAAAAACGACGACGCCAAAAAGAAGTGTTCGCGTAAATGGTCAATCCGCCATGGATTTACCTGAGCATTTGAGAAGATTTTTGCATAGAGATGTAGCTCACGGTAACTATTGTCCTCATGGCGACTACCAAGTCAAAAAAAGTTTCAAAACCTATTCAAACTTGCATCTGTTCTTCTGCTAAAAGTTACGTCCACGCGAAATCACCGATCTTACATAAAAAAGCTTTAAAAATGAATAGTTGTTTACATTTTATTCGCGATAGTCAGCATTGCGCGGTGAGTTTCAAAGCCATTATTAAGCGAGAATAAGTAAGGCATATAGAGTAGAATCAGTGCGAGCCTCTGCGAAGCAGAGGTGACGCACTGGTAACATATAATGAGAAATTATCGCATCAGAATCAACCAAACACAGGCTAGAACTCGAAAAATAAGAGGCAGTAAGTTAACAAACCTCTTTTTGACTCTACGCCCTCTCCAATTCCTTTAGTATCTTGAATAGTCCGCCAATTCTTAGGCTTGCTTGCGAAAATATGTGCACCCAAAACGCACCCTAGATTTAGCTTCTATAATAATCAAGTAGAATTACTTGCAAGTTGCAAGAACATCACTGCTCAGTCCGAAGATACCAATCAAGTTCGCCGATGTTAAACAAATCATACAAGCTAACACTAGCACTAATTTCTTTCAATATTTCCATTGGAAGGTGATTTGTGACATTTGCAGGTACTTGTTGTGGCGATACATGTCTCAACTGGGCTGAATAGTGTTCAAAAATCTACTTTTACGAAGGAGCAGCTGGGTTGGTTTGCACCAGCAACACCTTCAATCTTCAATGAATGACTGATTAGATGCAATGCCGAGTTACGAACGAGCCTATTTCGACAGAAATTGCCCCAAAAACCAGGAGTGGAAGCATTGTAAAAACAGGGGTATTCCCGATTGCACAGATCCACGACCAGTACGTACCGAGCGAAGAAGTCGAAAATATCAAACTAATAGCTAATGCAAATTGCCTTACAGCTACTAAAATTCGTGAATAGAGATTGTCGACCCGGATGTCAATGCAAGAAAGGCTTTATCATATCTAGTGCTGGATGCGTTCGCGATTGTTCTCAAGGCAAGGATTACTTTGTAGGAAGAATTACTCAGGGAGCCTCCAGACCGCGACGATTGCCGGTTTTGCAGCCAAAGCGCACTGGGTCAGATTTTCTCTGTGGGGCGTGTAGGGGGAACTTATTCGCATTCATGGGATCCTATAATTTTTTTGCCTCTTTTGTTGCTAGCCTTTCGTTTTGAATGTTCATTTCTGTGCCATACTGAACGTTTCTATAAGAGATGTGGTCCATTTAATCTAGTTGATGTTTTTTTCGCTGATTGCGATGCTAGTGTGATCGTATCATCGACGAAGAAAGTCTTTCAAATTCGCTAACCGAATTCGTTGAAAAGACTAGGTCTCCTTCAACTTATTTTTGATTTTAAAGCTACTATCTAGTTTGAGCTGCATATCTGCAAAAAGATGTTTTCTCGATTTCGCTTTCGTTTGGACGATAATGTTATGCTGAGTGAGCGACATGGTTGCAAAATGTTGTTTTTGTGCTTTCTTTGTTTTTGAAGCAGTTTTACTGCGCTATAGGAGCGGGGTCGTTGTAGAACGAGAATTCGACACATTATCTTTGCTTTCGGTCCTGTTTATGCCAAAGAGGAGATTCCTGGGAGTTGGAGCTTTTCATGTCACTTTCGTCTTGAGGCTCGCCTACTATGCTGAATAAGCAGGGTTGCAAAACGATGTTTTTGTACTTTCACTATAAACGACTTTCAGGACGAAAAGAAAACCATCCAAATAATTCTGTCCTGCAAGAGTTTTTTAAATCAGCACGAACCTGTAAAAAAGTACATTAGATTTCGTTCCACATGATATCCTCCTCCAGCATAACAGAACACTTCAGAAAGGGAGGAGTGCAAGTGGTACCCGGGCAAAAGCTCTTACTGTCGCGGCTCGCGCAATGCAAGCCACTCCTCGATAGAAGTTGGCCGAGAGCGCTGTAGGCCGCCGTTACCGGGCGCGCTGCTTTTTCGCGCCCGGATTTTCTCTGCTGAGCGCGTTGCCAAGTTGGGGGAGGGGTATATGGCCGCGCAAAGAGCGGCGTGTGCCTCTTTTTCGACGAGGCGAGGAGACCTCTTGGCAAGAGTTCTAGACGCCGAGCGTAATTACTGTACCATCTGCAGCGGCTTTGCCGGCACTCCGGCGGCTGGCTGCCAGCAGTCGGCTGGGGTTACCCTTCATACGCACCCCCTCAGAAACAAAGAAAGTACAAAAAACAGTGTTTTGCAACTATACCGTTCACCCAGCAACAATATCGTCAAAACGAGCTTGAACGAAAAACATCGTTTTGCAAAGATCTTTGTCATTTATGATTGAGACAAAACCGCTTTGCACCGATATTACAACGCTGACTTTTTTCTTGTTTCCGAATAGAAATTAAGGTTAGACTGAATATATTACAAGTTTCACACGATAGAGCTTCTTTTAACAATGCGTGCAAAGCGGTTTCGAGTCTCTCAGTCAAAAAATAGGCACTAACTCAATCTATGGAGTAGCATAGCTTTAGCACGTTTCGGACCGGTGAAAGATCTTTTTGACGTTTACAAGAGGTTTTCTCTTAGTCCAAGGTTATCAAATCAAAGTACTAAACTCTTACTTTTCAAATGACTCTAAATGACCGATATTTGTTTAGGAGATAAATAGATAGATATGGGATATGGGGATAAATCGAACAACAGATGCAACAAATTGCGGCAAGGCGAAAGAGGCGTGCGACGTGGCGACTTTTCTTTTCGATTTCGGAGAGAATAATCGTAGTTTCAATGATGATGTGTACCGTGTGCAACACATATAATTTTGGATATTATTAGAAACTTTCTTCTTGTTCCTAACTTTTGAAAAAAAAACAGAAGTCCTTCTCGAGCGAGAAAATATAAACACTTTAAATTCACTCAAAACTTTGGGTATGGAACTTGTTTGATATGCTGGTTACAGAGTACCACACAATCTACGAACTAAGGTCCTTTTGTTGGCCAACAGCTAAAAGTACATTTCTCTTCGCCGCGTGCGATTTCGCGGTCCGAAACGTGTTAAGAGCGAGGCAAAAAAATCTTGCTTCACAACGAGGTCGAAAATAAAAATTGGGACTAGACAAAAAAAAACTCCGTTCAGCACTGTTTCGCTTACTTTGGCATGAACTATCTCCGTAGCGGGAAATCTTATATATAAAGCTGAATGTCTGTTTGTCTGTATGCATGTCTGTCTGTATGTATGTCTGTCTGTCTGTACGTGTGTTCCGAATAGAAAATTCCATTTCTGACCTCGAGACCAAACTTGGCACACATACACTTCGGGCCCCGGCGGGTGTCATAGGCTACTTTTCGTCATCGATCGATATCGATTTTATCGATTTTTGCAAAATTTGAGCTACGGGCTGGAAGTTGGCACAGGGGGGTAATCGAGCATACTGATCACCCCCGTGGGGGTGATCAGCATGCTTGATTACACCCCCTGCCAAATTCCAGCCCCGTAGCTCAAATTTTGCAAAAAATCGATAAAATTGACGTCGATCGATAACGAAAAGTGGACTGTGACACCCGCCGGGGCCCGAAGTGTATGTGTGCCAAGTTTGGTTCGGATCGGTTAAGAAATGGAATTTTCTATTCGGAACATACGGCGGAGCCGGGTAAGCCAGCTAGTAGATTATAAGGGAATTTCCTTCAACAACGGATCGAGCACATCAGCATCGTAGAACAGCGAAAAAACTGCACCCACATCAAACAAACCATATATGCGATAGAATTGTCTACTACAACACAGGAAAGAATCCTCGAAACGAAATAATTGCGATAAAAAGATCAAGAAAGAGGAAAGTATCCCATCAGGGCGAATAAGTACCACCTACGCGCTCCACAGACAAGATCTGACCCAATGCGCATGCTCCAAAGCGGTGCGGAGGTTCCCTTACGCTTGTTGCGTAGTTTGTAGCAAGCTTTGGGTCAGCTATACGACTAATCAAAAGAATTGAGTTTTTCCACTAGTTCCGAGCACATTTTACGCATTTTTGTTCGTTACGCGATCTGACAATACTCCAGCTGTTCGAATTTCGTTGTAAGCGCTTTTGAATGGAAGATATGGCACTTGAAAACTTTTTGGAAATATGTTGTTATATTTGTGAATTTCGAATTTGAGAACATCTGGCAAATGACCAAATCGCCTGAGCACAAAGCCTAAAAAACCTCTTTGAATAGATAATTCCAAGTTATTTAATGTAATGTGACATTTTACTTTGGATTACAGCGCGTTGTTCAAATTCTAACACGTTAATTCAAGTGAACTTGCGGACAATGTGTGCAGATGCACGATTTTAATCAAAATCACGCATATTAGAAACAAATCCAGGAGATAAATAATTGTAAAGTCATGTATAATGATAATGCTTACTCTCACTCCGATTTCAAAGTTTCTAATTTCAGAAAATTGCCCTCGTCCAAACGAAATTCGATCCAAGTGTATCCCAAGGCCAGAATGTCAGCACACTTGCTTCCCACCTTCGGTGAGTGTAAACGGAATCTGCTTTCAGGATTGTTTGAATTGCTACATGCACAAAGCCTACTTTTAAGGAGACACCTATTTCAATTCGATTCAAAAGAATATTCAACAAAACATACAATTGTGATGATGAAAAATGCATACCTTTTGAATGTGAATGCCAGAAAGGTTACATTCGTCTCCACAACACACCAAGAAAAGTCAGATGCGTTCCTCTTGCGACTTGCAAGTAGGTCATAATTTTGACAAGCAAGTTTTCCCTAATTCATGATGAATTTAGAAAACTGAAAGATCAATATGGATCCTCTCTGCCATCTGGCGTCAACGTCACAGCTCTGTTCAACAAATAATTCTTGGGAACAGATCGCTACTGCTAGCAAATACAATGCACTGCTCAGCTCAGTAAATAGTTGCCTACATATATGTTTTTCAATTGGCAGTTCATCTCCTGCGTGAAATCAAAAAATGACTTTCTATACCAAAGGCTTTTGCCAAATCTTGCGAATGCAGTGCCAGATGAGCGAGCGCGAACGCGGCGCGATTACCTCCATTGCTGTAAATCTGCGTCTCAGGGCTCTGCGGATAATAAAATGGTTTGCGCTCTTAGACGTTGCGCCTTTGTCCACCAGTAGCCCTGGGTCGTCTGGTTGTGAGCAAACTATTCTATTTTTTACACAGTAAAAACGCCATAAATGCTGAAGTGACGGCACAATGTGTGACCGTGCTGCTCGCAAACGTGTATCCCTTAGTTTGTGGTTTCGCAATACCACAATGGTTGAACATTTCTTTTTTCAGCAGGTCAGGGGCGACTTGTCTCAAATTTCACATTAATTTTTCCCTCATCCTATTCAAATAATCAGCTTTGTAGTCCAAGCTATGCGAGAATCAAATGGAACGAATGTTGATTAGAGGAGAAAAAGATCGCTGATAAGATACATGAAAGATGAGTTGGTCTAACCATCATCTTTCTCAAAATTAGACCTAATGCAATGCTGTGTTGAGAGTCAGATCAATAGCCTGACATGTGACCTACCGATTTTACAAGGTTTTTGTTATTGGGTGGGAAAAAAGTAGTTATTGCAAGATGTAGCAAAAAAAACTTAGAACTATGTGGTGCTGCCCGTCATATTTCTGTTGATGAGTTTTCAGAGAAAAATATTTCATATTTTCCAACTGCTCATTAGCTGACTTTCTTGAGTAATCTAAAAACTGTTTAGCTCTACAATTTCAATCTCGCAATATTTGCCAAAGTGAGGATGTTATCTTGACGGCAGTTTTTGGCTTGTGTGCAAAGATTGTCAGAATTTGATGTCATATGTTACTGCAAAATAATGGCCCTTCATGTGCAATTGTGGGAGACTATACGCTATCCCATGAAACAAAGCAAGCTGCAAATAGTGTCCGTCAGCTACATGATAAACATAAGGCACATAAAACTTCTTGTCAAAATGTAGAAGCATTTGCTTACCCCAAAAATCGGATTTCAGCACAACAAAGTTTCTAGGAACTTCCACTCGCTCACACATATAGTAGACATTTAGCAGTATTCGTAAACAAACTTGTTTCTTTGTCTTGTAAAAACTGAGAAGTTCAACGGAAATGACATATTCCGTCTTTGTGTCATAAAAGTTTTTCACACAGCCATTTGTACAACACAAACTTTTGAGAAATAGTATCTATCTACAATCTTGCTGCGCTCTAATTTCAGAGGTAATCAATTCTGGCCAAAGAAAGAAAATTGCGACATGCTTCTCTCCTGAAACCTGACAGTTCTCCGCAAATTAAATGACCATCGTATGTGGTCTATGTGAAAATAAAGCAGACGCTTTTCCATGCAAATTTTTGTGCTTGTTTCGAGACAACCGAGGAAACGAAGTGCACTTACACTATTTCGCCCGAGATTCATACCTTTGTAGTACGGTCATAAATCTTTTCCATATTGAAGAGACAGTATTTTGCATAGAGTATAGGTCTGAATAAGCAATTCCCTTAAACATTTTTGAGGTGCTCTACAAGAATTTAGCAATTTTGTTATTCTTAAAGCTTCAAATACGACAAGGCTTAAGAAAAAGCAAAACAAGCAAAACCAATTCAATTGCATTTGCAGCTCAGGGCCAGCTTAAAACATCTCGCTACATCCTCATCATAGTAAAAGCTGAGCAATTAGCTTAAAGTCTCTTTACAAATCCCGCTGTGACTCTTACAAGGCGTGCTGAAAAGTCGCTGGTATGCGCGGCGATAAATTTAATCTTCAGCAGTATTATGTACCAAAGTGGATGATGCAAGCTCTACTGGTAAGCTTACTTTGAAAAAGTGCTTTGTTGGAAGCAATGAACATTTTTAAGACACTCAGCTGTGCGTCGGTTCTCCTCATAAAAGCAAGTTGTTATAAATAGAAAATTTATCCGGATTTGTTGCTTTCGAAACTACAAATCACAGCTATAATCTGGCACAGTTTCTCTCACTTGGTAATTCTTTTGAATTCTTCACTTGCGATTCGAAGGCTACTCATGCAAAATATCCAAAGCAAATTTGATAACTCAACAAAATATTTTGGAGCCTCCACAATGGTCGGCCGCCTCATCGTGGCAGGGGGTGACACTGGGTGTCAACCGCGATGCACAGCCAAGTATATACTTTGTCAGGACCTTAGCTGTGGAGAAGTTCGACGTTTCCGGGCCTAGCTAAGAGCCGGCTAGGCTAGATCTACCGCCGTTTGGTTTTCTGGTCGCCAGGCGGTTCCTCCCGCTCCAAGCTCAGGGTCAGCGATCACTCCATGGGAATCAAGAGTAAGCCTAGTAAGTCTGCTCTTGTAGGGGAACAAATCTTATTACTCTATCAAGAAGATATAGAAAAAAATCCTGTACATCGGATCCCGCCTACGGCGCTGGGTGGTAGAAAGATGTGAGGGTCCCTGGGGCGCCTTTTGAATCGGACAAAAACGACACGTCTGCCCGAAAGACACGCCTTGGGGACTGCCTTAGTCTCCACAAACGCCGACCTCATGCTCTTCTCGACGCTGCGGGGCGCATTAAGTATACATCATCGCTCCGCAGGAGATCATCAGCATCATCAGCTGCTACGCGCTAACATCAGCAGCTGACGAAGGAAATAGATGCTTTCTACGAAAACGTGGAGGATGTCGTCCGCAACAAGAAGTCCTCCTACAAGTTTGTTGTGAGCGACTTCAACGCGAAAATCGGGATGCCACTAGAAAAGGAATATAGGATCGGGAAGTTTGGATACGGACTCTGGAATGAAAACGGCAACCGCCTCGTTGGGCTTCTCTCCGCCGCACGACTTTTTCAAGGAAATTCCGTCTTCCTGAAGCGAGAACATCGTGGTGGACATGGGAATCTCCCAAAGAAACGACTCATGCGGAGATGACCACCTTTTCACCAAATGAAGCTGAAGCTTGCTCGATGTCTCAGTAGTTCCATCCTTCTGCAGTGGCACCGATCACCGCCTCCTTCGAGTTACGACTCAGCGAAAAGGAACCCTGTCAGTGCCGTGAGAAGGAAGGAAGCCGTTTATAACTTTAATGGTTTGGAAGAGCTCATATCAAGCTGTGACTGGTTCATCGAGGAGGACCCAACGTATAACTACAAACGGCTTCTGAAAGGATTGCGAGCCTGCGGAATGTGCGCCTAGTGACTTCTAAGAAGAACTTAAAACGCATTTCGAAGATCACCAAGGAATGCTCGGAAGAAGAAGATTTCTGAGGCAGGATTCGAATGCAACCCATCTTGAGCGACTGATAACCAACGCCAGTTGCAGAACCGCTTTGCAGGAGCATCTCAGGAAGTACTGGCAAGCCAAGGTGATGGAAGCAGCCGAAGGAAAGTGCCGAAGGAACCTCTATAAATATCACGTACCGCTGGCTGCACTATTGGACGAAGACGGGACTCCGACTTTTTCCCGATATAAGATGAGATCCACAGCGAAGAACTTCTGTACCTCTTCCGCTCATCAACACCCGTGCCGATGCCCGTTGTTTTCGCTGGAGAAGTACCACCACGGATTCTACCTGCTGAAGTGCGCACAGCAATTCGAATTATGAAGACGTCCACGGTTCCAGGATCAGACCATCTTTTCGTCGAATTACTGAGAGCCGGAGGACAACGTCTACACGAGCTTCTAGCGTCGCCTTTAACATCTTACCTTCAAGAGGAAAGGATTCCCGACCAGTGGAGAACGTCAAGAATCGTCTTTTTTTTAAGAAGAGTGAACGGGAGGATTTTCATTATCATCCAATATGCCTGCTAAGTGCGCTGTACAAGCTTTTCACGAAGATTATCCTCGCTCGCATATCTAGGACACTGGATGAAGCCCAACCCAAGAACAAGTTGGATTCCGCAAGGGATCTAGTTGCAGTCGGCTAGTGTTCTCATGTAGACTGGGTCTACTCCTTGGCATGGACCACATCCAGACGGTTTCGAGAGTCATAGAAGTCTGCCGGGAATACCGACTGCCTCTCGTCCTAACCTTCGTTGACTATGAGAAAGCCTTTGACAGCGTCGAAACGAATGCCATTCTGTCAGCGCTAATCGATTAAGCTGTGAACCCAGCTTACGTGAGGACGTAAGCCGACTGCTTTGTTCCAATCCGACAAGGCGATACAGTCTCGCCTAAACTGTTCACCGCGGCTTTCCATTGGGTGATGAAGTTACTGGATTGGGACGAGAGAGGCATACGAGTTGATGGGAGATTTTCATCAAACCCTCGTTTTGCGGACGGCATCGTTCTCTTCTCGAGCAATATCCCTGAATCCGAGACGATACTGAAGGAATTAAACGAAGTCGGGAAGAAGATAGGACTCGAATAAATTGGAAGAAGGCTCAGCTCATGAAGAACGCCCTTCGCGAAGATGCGGAAATGGCATTAGAAGGCAACCCTATTATGGAGACGTCTTCCCACGTGTATCTAGGACGATGAACATGGAGAACGACTTGAGGCAAGAACTTAGCAGGAGAAGAAGAGCAGTCTGGGCCGCTTTCGAATCTCTGAAGGAAGCCACCGTTTAACTGACGGACTGGAGTTTTGCGCCCACTTCTTCGACTCAACCGTTCTCCCGGCGCTCTCCTGCGCAGCTGAGACTTGGACCGACACTGTAGCTACGTTGAAGGCTTTACGGACCACACAGAGCGCTTGAGCGCAGTCTTCTAAAGATGACCCGACACAAAATATCTAGTCGGACTTCGCAGTACGAATATGAGAAGAATGTCCTGTCTTCGTGACTCAACGGAATACGTTGCGAAAGCGAAACACCGATGGGCCGGTTACATCATGAGAAGAACAGACGACAGATGGACACTAAGAACATTCGAGTGGATTCCCCGTGAAGCGAAACATCCCCGAAGAAGACCTCCAACGAGATGGGCAGACGTGTTCGTAGAACGGATGGACCAGCTGAGAAAT